TAAACGCTTTTAGGCTTACTTCAAAGCCTGTTCTTTCTCTTTCAAACAAACTATTATCCTTGTCTCCAATGCTAGTAATAATTGCACAGGAAAAGATTTAGTAAAACCTATCATTTTTAGTTGCTGTTTAATTATGCAAGTTTACTATGTTATTGTTTAGTCGGTTTAAATGTTAGAATTTTCTTCTTTAAACTTTAATGTTGTCGTCACTACATCTGAAAACCACGTAAGAACAAATTAAAAGTATTTTAAAAGAGACCAGGTTGTTTGAAAATCCTAAGCGAATGCTAAAAATCGTCAAAACATTCTGGTGTCTGAGCCAGAGTGTCATCGAATTGCGATGTAATGTAAACAGAAATTATAGCAAGTTGATGTCAGTCAGCTTAGATGGTCCAAGCCAAAATTATATCGCATTTGAAGTTTCAAACTGAGTTAAAAATAGTGGAAGAAAAGCCGTAATTATACTTATTGTTACAATCCATTTAATAAAATGTAACATTTTTTTGTTTTAATGAAAAAATCAGTTATTTTCATGAGAAAGCTGAATGGCTACGCTTTAAAATGAATGTAAACTTTAACGTTTTCGTCTATTATTTGTTTAGCAATTTGCATTTCAGTCGAGGTTGCGCTTTTTTTATACACCCTGTATAAGAGCTGGGCATTTTGTACGGAGCATGCGCGAAAAAATCAATATGGCGACATATCTATAGGAGTGCTTCGTGCATGGATTTATCTGGTTTTAAAGCTGATAAAACAACATTTCAATGAACGAAAACTTTGTAATATTTGGTGGAAAACATTAAGCTATGCAATCCAAAGGTTTTAAAGTAAAAATAAGTACTTTTGCTTTATTTTATTGCTTTTTATGCTTTGAAAATAGGCAAGCTCATTTTTTTTTAAAGAATCTAAAGTAATATTTTACCCATCATTTGTTTAATCTGAACAGAAATAGATAGAACACTTGGCTACATAAGTTATAAAGGTATTGGTAGCTGATCTGAAAGATTTCAGTATTCCTGGTACACATTTTAACAAAGAATAACTGTAATTTTAAAAATTAAATATGCATATCAAAAACAATAGTTTTTATTAGAACAACACAGAATAAATTGTTATTTTCTATTTTTACAAAAACAAGTTTCAAAACAGAATCTAGTCCTCCAGCTTGATGTCACATTTCATTTATTTGGATATTTGAATAAAGGAATGTGAAATAATAATTGAAACTTGTCCAAAATTTGATACCAACACTCAAGTGAACAGATACTATCACCTAAAATTAAAAGAAAACAGAACTTGAATGTGTCATATAATGCTATGAAAAAATCTTAGATACTACAGGAATATAGTGAGCACAACTCTTTAACAAACTCACTAAAATAAGTTAAGTTATGCTATGATAAGTGGATGGCAATATATGACAACATCAAATGTTACCATCTTCAGTGTCCAAAAAAAGTGCCGCGCGCATTTTTCCCAGCATACCCACTAACTTTTTCATGAAGGTTGACTAATAAGGATAGTTTTAAGCCATGTTTCGGAGAGAGGCAATGGGCAAAATTTTAAGATATTTTTATTTATATGCCATATCACCACAGAATTTTACAAAGCAAGCATGCCTATATTCAGGATTGCCGTTAGACTCTTAAAACTGAACAAATTTGAACAGGAGCAATTGAACAGGAGCAATTTCATAAGCATGTGACAACATGACATTTTTACTTCACAAGTGGATTTGTCAATTACAACATCTAGCACATTTTTCCCATGAATAGCTCAGGTTTTAATAAAACAAAGTATGATTTAACTTTCATAAAATATATTTTCTAACTAAAGGCAACGGCCAGTTTTTACGAAATTGCAAGAGGAATATGTGTCATTTTCATCAAATTATGTATTTTAAGACACTTATTATTCCAGATGAAGAAGGACAAACAAATTATTGAACATACCTGTGGAAACAACAACAACTCAGCTTCTATCAAGAGTAAAATATGAACACTTCCTTGTTTCCATACTGCTGTACCCTGCTTCTGAAACTCTGACAATGAGTGAAACATTTCCACTTGTCGCCCATTTGTAAATAAAAATTCTTCGCACGTTTTCATGCGATTAACTCGTTACATCGTTGCGTACAAGCACTACAACTTAATCTTTCAAGAAACACTTTATTTTCCATGAACAAACCAGTAAAAGAGGACAAAAAATCCTCTCACAATGCATATTTTCAGCGTTCGAAGAATCAAAATGTTTGTGAAAGAAATGCGCCCGCAATATTTAGACAGCGACAACAGAATGCCCAGCTGTTAAGAACTATATATACTGTTATATTAAGAACGTCAACAGGCCGGACGAAATTGCAATGAGGGCGGTAATAATATCATATTAATTAATACAAGAAGATGGGGAGAAATAAACAATTAAAATCCCTCGGAAGTTTTAGACGTCGCCGTTGCTCTGTCTACATCGGCAAAATACAGATTATCACGTCTTGTATATAACGCTTATACATTCCAAGCTGGGACAACTGGTACTTTCAATTATTGGGTCCTAGAACTTTTCTCAATCATTAACCCTGTGTTAAATTTGATCCTTGAACTGTATTATTTTCATACGATGGATAACAGATGACAGGTTTTCTTCTGCAATCATTTGCTTGTTTGCCGTTGCGTTCCCGTCCTATACCTGCCTAAGCTCGCCAGTAATGCTTTGAAACTTAGTTCTATCCATCCCACTGCGTGCATGTGCATGAGGATCTCATGTTTTCACGAAATCATAATAATGTTGTCTTCATAAGTTGCGTGTTGTTTTCAGCCAAAAGTTGTCTCAATGATGTTTTCGTGGAATCGAGGAGTGCCAGTGACCGATAATATGCTAATTGGGACATCTCCAGAGTTTGAGCTAGCGCTTTACACCTTGTGTTTTTTCACCAGTCCTGCCGCGGAGTGTGAATGTAAAGTGAATATCAAGAAGATTGTGGTGAAGACGACCACTTCATCCGATGGTTCAAAAATACTTAACTCTCATTTTGAACTCAAAGTGTAATAAATTGATAGTCAGTATTGATATGCAAATATATAATTGAATATATAATTACATATATTTAGTAAAAATGTTAGGCCATGCAGAATTTGAGTTAGCTTTGATATTTAACAAATATAAAACATTTTCCGTGTTGATATACAGTTATATCAACACGAACGGAAGTTGGGAAAACGAGAAATTGTGTGGAAACACAACGCCCAAAGGGCGGAGCTGCCTTGTACCCAGGCGCTTTAAATAATTACAATACATGAAGTATTCAGGTAGGCAGGCGACGCGCGAAGGGGGCTTTTGGGAAGGAAGCGTGCTGGGGAGCGCCTGGCAGTTCTTGTATACTGTCATGGCGGGAAAACATGGAATTTAATACAAAACGTTACCATATCGCCATATACTCTGTGTGTAAAACCTTCTTTTCTGACGAAGAGTCGAATTGAACGCCATTGGCAAATAATAATAAATTTGTAGATGTTTGATGACATGCAAAATGCGCAAAAAATTATGAGTAAATTACATGGCCAGTTAACCGTGCGAATATTTGAAATATGTCATTCGGTATTACATAGAGAATAATAGAATGCTATGAGTTGCTTAGTATAAAACAGTGACAGAGAAATGATTAGAAAGACATATGATTTCTTTTGTATTAATAACGTCTTTAGCTGAAGGCTCGATCGGTCGACCACAATGCCAATGGCAATTTCTATTAAATGTATACTGTAAACAAAAGCCCAAGTAAATAAACGTTCACAGCCGTAACGTTTGAAATATTTATTTACAACAGTGCAATTTTATAGTTTGTACCTTTATATAGTTATAGCTTACAAATCTAGTTCCTGCAAATCTAGTTCTTCAACGCTTCGGTTGTTGACATGTTAATATTGCAATTTCCATGGACTTTAAATAAGGCATATTTCATATATACCAAGAATAACAGCATGAATTCACGCCCAGATGACAGATGAATATTAACATTAGTCACTTCAACAAAAACAAGCAGCAAAAAATCGTAAACGACAACGAAATATCACAACTTGCAAGAAATCGACTATCTTGCAAGAAATCGACCAAGAACTGCCAGGCGTCTCGCAGTTCAAGTGCACTCATCTCTCCCCACTACAATACTTCATGTAAACTCGTCATATGCGCATCACTGTTTTTTTTACAAAGAGACGCCTGGGTACGAGGCAGAGGGCGGAGTGTTTTCACATAATTTCGAGTTTTCCCAATTTCCACGAGTGTTGATATCACTGTATATCAATACGGAACAAATGTTTTATGTACTGTTTAATAAACGAGCAGGAGTGTTTTATTAGGTTTAAAGCCACGAGCGCGCAGCGCGAGTGGCTTTAGACCTAATAAAACACGACCTGCGAGTTTATTAAAAGGCTTCAAACACGACTACAAATTCAATAGATATACTGCCTTATTAGTATTCTTTATATAAAGAATACTAATTAGGAGTGTTTTATCAGGTTTAAAGCCACTGCACGTGATATATTATGGTTGACATGATTTGTCAATAAGCTTATGAATTATTAATGAGTGTTTGAACTTTGTTTTATATTATAATATAAGTGTGATATAACAGACGATTTGATTGGCTAATGCGCGTGCATTGTGACGCAATAATGCACGTTGATCTGTGGCACTGCTTTGCTCTTTCTCTGTTTTTTCCCCTCTTCATCGCTGCTTTTTAGCCAAAATTATACCCAAAATTATAGAGCTTTTAAAATACAAAATTTACCAGAAAGTAAGAAGGAATAACCCAAAGCAATTTTCTATGGTTCTACTTTAAAATTAACCGGCTTGGCATTCGTCGAATTGGTTGTTGTCTCGACAAGTTTTGGGTAAAAAACGTACAAAATAGTCGAGAAAAAAACTTGGAAAAGATACAGCTGGAACACCAAATACATACAAAAAGGCAACAAAAACTGAATATAAGTGATTTAGAAAGTACCTTCAATTCTTCTGATAATAACTGCTAGATGTATTTTCGGCGAAAGACAAAAAACACACTATAATTTCGAAAATTAAAACTGAGTAATAAACACGACGAAACCTCCGATTTACCGTCTTTCATGGCAAATCCAGCAACCCAGATGCTGAAAAACTTTGGCAAATTAGTCTGTGCATGTGTCACTGCTTTTTTATTTCCACTATTTTAAACAATTTTTCCGGCTTTATAGCATCAAAAGTTTGTATATTGTTTTGGCAATTTTTCTCCTTCGCTCGCTTAAAAATTCAAGCGACAGCAAAAGCATGCGCGTGACGTCATTGAGTACATGTTAGGAGAATTTCAACGTCAATCTCTTGAGTAAAATAGTTTACTATGTAATATCTTCTACTTATATTATAAAAGAAATAGAAAAACTCGTCTCGTGCGTTTATGGTGTGATAATGCACTTGGGGAATGTTGGGAGAATACTCGAGAAGCGTGTAAAACACTCGGCTACGCCTCGTGTTTACACGCTTCTCTCGTATTCTCCCAACATTCCCTGCGTGCATTATCACACCATAAACGCACGCGACTCGTTTTCTATTTCTTAAATATAGCACGAAGAATATAAAGAAAGAAATTTTCCGACGTTTCGGTGTTGACATTGAGTTATATCAACACGGCTCTTAGCCAATTAGCGTTCAGAATTTACAAATGTTATATTATATATATTATATACATACACACATACATACATACATATATATATATACATATATATATATATATATATATATATATATATATATATATATATATATATATATATATATATATATATATATATATATATATATATACACTGTAAATTTTAAGGAGTTGAATCAACTCCAAAAGAGTTATTCTGTCACGAGAAACGGTGTATATACCTATTCGTTCCTATAAAATTGAAATTCAAATAACGACTGGGGACGAGTCTGGAGATATTGGACTCGATGTCGGAGAGTATATCAGATAAGTGGCTAGCCTTGTAGTTATTTAATTATGTCATATACGGCCATGTCGTCCAGTGCCATAGTACTGACGACCGTTCAAGTACGACGAAAACGTAAAGCAATCGCATCAACTAGACTCAGAAACACAACAAATGGATTCTATTAACAAATGAGATATATTTTTTACATATATTGTTAATATTTTTTGAATTATTTTGTTTTTTTAAAATATTATAACGGTTAAATCAAGTATTCAAAATATATAGGACGTTCAGAGATTGGGCCGCCTGTGATTGACTGAACGAATTGAAACTATCAAATATGGGTTTTATCTGCAACTGTTCATCCTTAGTTGCAAGCGACGGTAATTCTGGCCCGATCAATGGACCTGATTGAAGGCTTTCTACCTGCCAATTGTGCCGCATGGCAAGAAATGCCAAGAATGGAGGTCGAGCTGGTTGACATTTCAAGTTCATTGTGAGTGTTTTATACATTTTATTAACTTACTTATTCTTGCTAATTGATTGTATTATCAATATATTTTCTATGATATATTTACGAACCACACCAGGAGGTATATCTTAGATCATCCGATGACATGGTGCGTGAATATTTTAAAAGTTTACGTCGCCTTTTATTTATATAAATATTTATCGATTCACACTATAAATGGTATAAATATTTATTAGTTTATAGCTTTATAACGTATTATAAACGTGTATAAAAGTTTCTTGGCATTATGAAACAATTTAATGACAAAAGGAAACTCAATATTTCAAGTTTTCCATATATATTTTGGCAATGCCAAATTGATTTCAATTATTTGTATTTTACAATATATATTCATGATTTAATAATATTGTAAACATTTTTACGCGTAATGTACAGTATTAATATATATGCATGCATCAATATTTGTTTAATAATATGCAGATTTTGCAAAATATGGCTGCCAATTTTTGAGAGTAGATTGATATATAAATACCTTATTACATTTTAAAAATTGATCAACATTCAGCTTTTGGGTTTGGCATAAACCCAAACGTTAACCGCCTAAACTAAAACGTTTGGCTTCCAAATTTCCGTTTTTTTAATTGTTACTCAAATAATTTAATTATGTGTGCATGTAAAGTGCTATTCTGCGCTCTCACTTTTAAGGAATTATCCTTAAAAATAAACATTTTAAGGATTTTTTTAAGGAATTCATGTGACCAGGCCTTGTAGTAATTTTTACCAAAGAAATCGGAGGAATTTTCGAGCTTTTTCTAAGGAATTCGAAAATTTGATTGTGACTTGTGAGAGCATTATAAGCATTAGGGGCCGACCATTTAACTTTTGAGGGAGGGGGGGAGGTGATTTTGAAAAAAATTCCTGCAAGGTTATTTTGAACCAAAAAAATACCTGCACTAACAAACTGGGGGAAAAAATATCCTGCCCCAGTATTTGGTGGGAAAAATGTTGCAAAACAGCATGGTTGTGGGAATCGATTTGACCAGTCCCAGATCAGCTGGTTTGATTTTCATGGATTAGTGTAAGGTTAATTTCCTGTCGAAAAACTCCTCAAAATGCTGGAAATAGCTTATCTGAGCTTCAATAAATCCCAAAGTTTCTGGGAGGGTGGGGGGCATGCCACAAAAGTAAGCCTGCTGAAAATATCCTAAAAATCCCATTCCTGCATAAATGGTAGCTTGCAGCTGCATGCAGTATCTTGAATTTTGTACTGTTGCACTCTTTTATTGAATAGTTAAACCTACCATGTTGTTTAAGATTGTTTGAGATTGCTTGAGGATTGCCCAAGATTGCTTGTCAATAAATATTTATCAATAACAATATTTTTATACCTCAAGTTTTGTTTCATTTTCAGATTTACTGGGGGTTAACCCCCCCCCCCAAGGAATCTCTCTAATCCCTGTTATGAAGTGTTCAACCTCACCAAAATTTTGCTTTACCCCTCCTATTTTGTGTGGAAGTCTTTAACCCTAATGCCTAACCTGCCTAACCTCTGCCCAAGCTCGCTCAGTGATGCCGCTTGCACCCCACTAGAAATTTTTCCACCCCTCCTTTAAAAAATTGAAAATCCGCCCTTGTTTTATCTGAGATGGGAGGAGGAGGAAGGGAGGAGTGCAGGTAATGTTTGGGCATATTAATTCTGTGTGGCCTGCAAAAATAGAAAATATTGGCCACACCCTTATATTTCAATAGTAGTATTCAAACGTTAATATTAACGAGTTAGAAAATTTATCGTTGTTATTTGTGCAAAAATATTGATTAATCTGCACAAAAAATATTAAGGAGTTGCCTTAAACCAATCAGTTCTGATTGCATGTTCAAGCTATGTAAGAACGGGCTCATTTAACATGTGTTCCTTTATAAAGGCTCGTCACATCACATGCACTGTTGATTATTTTATAGTGATCAATTTGATGAATCAATTAATATTGACAATGAATTGGAAAAAGACAATCAAGTTAGGATACCTATAATTTCGGATGGTCATTGCCTTGTTCGAGCATTCTTTAAAGTCTTAACTAATAAATACCATTATCCACTGAAAAGCTATTTCAAGCTTCTACATTGCGCCTGTTACGAGATTGAGGACAATCTGCCATTTTATTCTGACAAGATCACGTCATATACTAACGTTTCATACGAACTGGACAAGTACAAGAGGGAAAGGAAGTACAATCAAAACATTGTCGACTTGATCATATACGCCCTTGCAAATTGTACTAATTCATTAGTATCAATCTATTATGTTCACAATGGCGTACTGAAAACACACGAAATTCCACCAACTAGACATAGCGAAGTTCCCGAGAGGCGTGTTACGCTCGTTCGTTTGGGAGAGCATTATGAGGCAGTTCTGAATGCTGATATGTTCAAGCGTAATATTGAAAACACGGTCACTATTGTCGACTCGCCTGTTAAAAGAGAAAGCACCGTTCTTGTGCCATCGGATTCAGAAGGCAGTCAAGGCAAACCACCGAAGGAACGGAAGCAAGATTCAGAATCGGAATCGGAAAACTCTGATGAATGTATGAGTACTACTTATTCTGACAACTCTAGCACCGATTGCGACTTGGAAAAAGGTAAACGAGGGAATGTTTCCCCCAAAAAATTAACACCTGAGGTTTGGGAAGATGTTCCTATTACGAAATGCACAGCTCTCCCACTTGACATTGATGGAAATTCGGTTTACGAGTTACCATTTGATGCAAATTATCGCATGCGCTCTTCTGTTGACGGTCGTAAATGGAAGAGATATATGCTCTCTAAACGTTTTGGATTTAAAGGAATGCGTCGACTAGCCCACTGTGCAGGTTCGTTTCTCTGCAATAATTTGCTTTGTAGTTTCAGAAAACAATGGGGACAAAATACCGTGCATTTTGACAAGAAAAATAATTGTAAGTATTGTGGAATAACAGCCGATCACCTTCCCTGCAAGGCCAGAAAAGTGTGGGAATTTAACGATGCTCGAGAGACGGTTACTGTTTATCACTACGGCAGCCATACATGTCCTGTGATTGTAAAAAATAAATCCGAATCCGCTGTTGCTGCTCTCAAGAAAAAGTTTGAAGCCAATCCAGAAATGAAACCTCAAAGAGCTGTTAATGCATTAATTTAAGAAGCAATTGTCATCATTAATTTAAGAAGCGATGGTCAAGCGTGGGATGAAATCGAAGAATTGACTGACACTCTTCTTAATTCCAGCTTGCCAAAAAACGTCAAACAGAAAGTGCACAAGGAACTTCATCCTCACGGACACAGTTTTGAAGCAGTTCAGATACTTAAAAATTCGCTTGACAAAAAAGACCCGCTTTATATATTCGAAGTGAATGACAATCAATTCAACAGCGATGAGCCAACATTTGTATTTTCTACAAGCACTGGTAAGATGAAGCTCGTGGCGACCATGACACGTGATCAAGATTTATCTCACAAATTTGCATACTGCTTTTTTGATGGCAAACATGGCAGAGTTCAAGGAATGAAAACCCTTACTGCAAGTGTTTTTCACTGTGGATTGCGAAAAATGGTGCGCTTGGCAGTTATGCATTGTGAGCGAGAAGATCCGTTGCATGTCTCACTTTTCTGGCAGCTGTTTAATAAATCTCTAAAGATTGCAACAAACAACCCTGATGCTACCTTCAAGCCGTATGGGTAGATGATGGACGAAGATGGTGCGGAGTGGGCAGGTCTCCAGATGGCAGGCGGGGAAGAAGAAGTCAAAAACGCGAAAAGTTGTCAATTCCACTTTAAACAAGCAGTCAATCGTGAAACAGGAAAATTGCAAAGCACCAAGTCAAAGTTCGAATTCAAGCGCCTAGCAAATGCCTTGCTTTCAGCACACACAGCTGCCACATATGACAAGGCATATGGAAACATCGCCAACTTTATTCAAGAAAAGACATCGAAACGAAAACGAAGTGTCTTGAAATCTTGGCTAGACTGGTGGGATGAAAGGAAGCACCACGTCTTTGATGCCTTTCGTACTCTTCCTTTCATCCCAACAACCAATCAAAGTGAGTGTCTTCATTCAGCATGGGAAACTACTCAAAGCTCAAAGATGTCTTTAATGGGTGTACTCTATGATGATGTGGCAGATTCTGTGAAATTTGATCGTCATGTGAAGCTAATTGGTGATGGTTCTCTTGCTCCAGCAACTGGAGTTACCCAATCGAAGACCGAGGCGCGAGAGAGAGAAATTCAGCGACGAAAAGCTGTATCCCATAGTAAAGAACTGACTGTTGAAACCGAGTCTACTCTTCACTGCGACGCTGAAGAAGCAAATCCGTTTCAAGTTGATCCAAATTGCAAGCATCGCCATGACAAACGGGTCAGAAATAGCCAATCTTCTAAAAATGAGTGCCGTCGGGTAAGAAAAAGTGCTTATGACGGAAGCGAATCAAATCCATCTGATCTATCTGACAGCAGTTCTGAGGAACTTCCCAACAAGAAAAGCGAGGATAAGGAAGTTTGGACAATACGATGAAAAGAGGAGGACGATTTCGAAACAAACGCAGCAAGCAGTTTCAAGCCAACATGGCTAAAGCAAAGAGCCAGAAATCAAGAATTTCTGTAGTTACGGTTAAGAACATTGACGCGTTGCATCGCGTTTACGTCGTTTCTTCTGCCCAAGTTGACGACTATTCTCGTACATATGAAGTCCATATCTCAAGAGAACCGTCGTGTAATTGTCCACAGGGACTAAAAACCAAGAAAGAAATATGCAAACATATCATTTGGGTCTATTTATTTGTCCTCGGAGTTCGTGAAACTAGTAGTTTACTCAACCAAGTATATCTTTCAGAAGACGAGATACGAAAGATGTTCGTCAATATTCCGCCAATCTCACCTGCTGCTGTCGGAACGATGGGGGCATCTTGTCCTGCCGAACAAACTGTGCAGAATGATCGTTGTTTCCATGAGCCGAAGTCGACTAACTATGAACCAGCGAGTGAAGCAAATGCCAGAAGTCCCTTTCTTCTTAAATTTTTGGCGTCTAACGTGAAGGTATGCGCTGGTTGTCCTCGCCCAAACAACACGTTCAGGGCACATGAATTACAAGATCCACCTGCCCCTTACAATATGGTTATTTGTCATAAGGAGATACGACAATGGATAGAGGACGGTGAAGTTCGACGAAGTCCTACAGTCCAAAATACCTATTATCATGCTGACCTGAAATGCGTCCGGAAAAACAACCCTACATTTGAAAAGAACTTGTTAGTCATTCCAGCAGCAATGAAAAATGAGCTGAAACTAGAGCATAAACTCTACCTTCGCCTGCACTTTGATATTGATATTTAAGCACTACAGTTCTGGATCAATTTTTGTAAGAAACTGGTTTAAATTTTGTTGTTTTACAGTACTTTACATTTTGTTGAGCGTAATGTTACTAAGGAACTTTAGCAGCGGCTACGAGTAGGGTTACGAGAACGAGCTTCGTCAAGCCAAATGCATGCCTGTATGCTTACGCCATCCCGTACTGATGTAAAAAGTCGTATCCGTTGCCCATCTGATAGACCGCGAGCAGTCCCTCGGGAAAAAGGAGGGGCTGCCGACAACAACATCAAGAAACGAAATACACCCACTTTTCGCTCTTGTCAAGTTGGCTCCGCCTTTGCATAAACAATACTTATATCCCATTAAATTTGTCCAATAGGTAATGTCATGACGGTAATGTCATGTTTATTTATAAAATCAACATTCAGTTTTGAAATTATTTATCGATTTTGACCCATGGGAATTTTGCGTTGTGTGGACAACGCGTATGTCGTTTCTTCATGTGTTGTCGGCAGTCCCTCCTTTCCCTTCTCATGCCCGAAATCTAAACCTGCGGAAAGGAGGGACCGCTTGCACTCTACCCATCTAACTACGAAATTTTGGAGAAATCTCGTAGTCCTCACGACGACTTAGTTAAAAATATTTGGTTTTGTCCTGGCGTTTACCGAGCGCATTTTTTGAAAGCGGAAGCGTATACGTAAATTTTATCGGTAATGTTGATCTAAATATCTGGCTTGTTTTTAACCCCACTTATTCATGACTTATCTGCACTTAATTCGTTCCAATATATAGAAAGGGCTACGTTGTAGCGGATTTTAGCCTGCAAGCGATTTAGCTTATGGAAACTTATTTTCTCGTTTTCAACGACTTCACGTCGCAGTCTCGTACTCGTTATCGCTGCTAAAGCTCCCTACTGTTTGCGTTAGAACGGGCAAATATTTGCATGGTTACGGCTTTTACATGGTTATGGTTTTTATTTTCATCCCGCATGTTGATACGTCATTGTTGCCATAGCAACATCAGTTACATAACTTTTATGAATCCAAACTCGGCAAGTAGGAAAGTTCTGATCTCATTTTTAACAATAGTCTAGGACCTGTATATGAGTTTGTATGCATTTCATTTAGGACAGATAATCTCAACTGTTTTAGGGTAAGTTGACCATGACGGTCAACATGGTAACGCTGCCCGAACCCCAATCCGGGGCGAAACGTCCGAAACTGACCACACCCAAAAATGACGCTTTCGCCATACTGCTATCTACCAAACCATAAAAGCTTTGGCTATTTTGAGGTGCTTATATGGTTCAGAGATGGTACTTTTCGGGGTGGTCATTGGTAAGTGTGAAATGCCAAGCACTAATATTTCACAAGAAAATGGCCAAGCAATAATCATAGTTAAAGGTCAATTTGTGGCTTGCAAATTCAGATAAACAGCAGTGGACTTACATTACCTTTTTCCCAAAATCTTTTTTATAGAAACATAAATGGTACTTATTTAAATATATTATCACTGGTTTGGTGTAAAATAGTTAATATTTTCTGACCGAAATAATAATTTGAAATGTGCCTACCTTCTGCAAATAGACGTATTTGGCCAATTTCTCCACTTTACTCCGTTGTTTATCGGCGATCTCGTCGACATCCTACAAAAAATGTAAATCATCTCAGACATAGTGGTATCAAGAACATTTTAAACAAGTTTCAACTTGGTTTCAAGTAGATCATAGCTGTTTAACCATCGACAAGGTAAATCCACAACTTTGTCCAAATTCGGCGCCATTTTGTCATCCCATGTCGCTTGTTAACAATTCAGCCTTGCTACTCTTCCATCCAAGCCATTTCCATTCCACTAATAATAAATTTAACCCTTTATAACAGGAGGAAACTAAAAATCTAAACAAAATATAAGAAATACGCCATTTTATCACCATGTAAAATTTTGCTCACGAGTCTTTCAAAACATTCCGTACAAATATCGCGTGACAAAGTAACAGGGACGTGACAGGAGGGGGTGAATTATTTCACGAAGATAGAAGGCTGCGTGAAATAGACCAAAAGCTAAATACAATCATACAAATGTTTGTTTTATTTCTTGTAGCGACAAATATATACATATTATTATTTATTAATATGAAAAAGTCATACAAATTAAATGTTGATTGTTGGTTTTACCATAATGTGTGGGCATTCCTTTCATTTTTCAAGTCTCTTCCCCCCCTGTCACGTCCCTGTTGCTAAACCACGCGAGATTTGTACGAAATGTTTTGAAGGACTCGTAAACAACATTTTACAGGGTGATAAAATGGCGTATTTCTTGTATTTTGTTTAGATTTTTAGTTTCCTCCTGTTATAAAGGGTTAAATGTATTATTAGTGGAATGGAAATGGCTTGGATGGAAGAGTAACAAGGCTGAATTGTTAACAAGCGACATGGGATGACAAAATGGCGCCGAATTTGGACAAAGTTGTGGTTTTACCTTGTCGATGGTTAAACAGGTATGATCTACTTGAAACCAAGTTGAAACTTGTTTAAAATGTTCTTGATACCATTATGTCTGAGATGATTTACATTTTTTGTAGGATGTCGACGAGATTGCCGATAAACAGCGGAGTAAAGTGGAGAACTTGGCAAATACGTCCATTTGCAGGAGGTAGGCACATTTCAAATTATTATTTCGGTCAGAAAATATTAACTATTTTACACCAAACCAGTGATAATATATTTAAATAAGTACCATTTATGTTTCTATCAAAAAGATTTAGGGAAAAAGGTAATGTAAGTCCACTGCTGTTTATCTGAATTTGCAAGCCACAAATTGACCTTTAACTATGATTATTGCATGGCCATTTTCTTGTGAAATATTAGTGCTAGGCATTTCACACTTACCAATGACCACCCCCAAAAGTACCATCTCTGAACCATATAAGCACCTCAGAATAGCCAAAGCTTTTATGGTTTGGTAGATAGCAGTATGGCGAAAGCGTCGTTTTTGGGTGTGGTCAGTTTCGGACGTTTCGCCCCGGATTGGGGTTCGGGCAGCGTTACCATGTTGACCGGCATGATCAACTTACCCTAAAACAGTTGAGATTATCTGTCCTAAATGAAATGCATACAAACTCATATACAGGTCCTAGACTACAAGTAATATTGACCAAAAGTGCGGACCTAAATCGTAATTTATTTTTTTAAACTCTACTCCGCCAACTTCAAAAATGAGAAATGAAATTAGCAACTCCGATCCCAAACTCGCAGACTCGCAGACTCGCAGACTCGCAACTCGCAGACTCGCATATTAGACAAACTCGATATTTTCTATATTTATGATTTTTAGTTTAGTTTAACAATGTTTTAGGAAAGTTTCATATATATCCGTGACTCGAACAATATGGTAAATTGGAAATTGCTATTGGTGGATTTGGCAAAAATACAATATGACGGTGAAGGACCAGATTTATGACCAAACGTTGACTAACATATAGATAATGAGTTGTATTGTTATTCTAATGAGTTTCATGGCCATGCATCTTCCCTTATATATATAGGCTAGGAACTAACTCAGCCTTCGTAACTTTCCAATTTGAATAAAACTAGTGAAAAGAGAAACCTTTGTTTATAGACTTCTATGATTTATATACATTCTTCTTTTTACATTTTCAGTCACACTTTGTTCTGACAAATTTCCCATTTTCAGATCAGAGTAGGTGAGCATGATATGCGCGTGAAGGAAGGACATGAACAAGATATCAGTATTGCAAGAAATGGCATTACAGTTCATCCTCAGTACAACACGAGAACAACGGATTATGATATTGCAGTCATCAGACTTTCCAGAAGTGTTCAGTTTACACAAAGGATAAAGCCCGTCTGTTTTAACAGAGGCATTGATTTCACTGGTAAAGTAATGCAATAGAAACTTAGGCCGAAAAGGCGAGATATTGAATGCTATACTATCATTATCAATATTATGTTTATCACTCAACAGCCCAAGTAAGGGAACATTGAAACGTCGCGCTTTTCATGTGCCGCTCCTATATGGATGTGGTTTGGCACATGAAAAGTTCGAGAGCTGGTTGTACAAAGGCCGGCCATGCATGCAGTGCTATATCCACCGATATTTTTTCAAGCTTTCTAAAATTGTCCGTTGATTGGTATAACCCTGATTAAACTTCAGTATATATAAATTAAAGATTCTTTTTATATAAATAAATAGTTATAAATGTTAATCTTTGCCATCATTTTTCCAACGACAAAAAGACAAGATTGCAAACGCTTTTTGTTTTTCTACTGGTATTACGCCTATTAGCAAAATTGCAATATAAAATTAACCAATGAACAATGCATTATCACGTCACAAATGCCTGCATGTTTATGGTAATGCACTTGATGGTAAGGTCTTGAACGCTACCTCCAAAACAACGTTCGTGTACATATATAGATCAAATACCGAAATTATGGTATTTCTATATAGGTCAACGTTGTTATATCACTGGATGGGGCAGACTGCAAAGTGGAGGATCAACGCCAAAGGTCTTACAGGAAGCTCAAGTTCCTATTGTAACTCCACAAGAATGCAAAAAAGCATACGGCAGCTCGCTCATTACTGATAAAATGCTGTGCGCTGGATATTCTCAAGGTGGTATTGACACTTGCGAAGGTGACAGCGGAGGTAAGACTCAAGAACAGATATGATTTGTTCGTCTGCACAGTCAAAACGACATGCCAGCAACCACTATGCAAGATCTACAATCCAGACCAAAACTTATGTGGACACTTAATCCATAATAATAATAACAAACAGCTAAAACCCGAACTCACAGGCATACCCCCCCCCCCTCTTCAATTTTGATATCCGAATTATATACACTTCGTATTTGATTAAATATCCCATTCAACATTGGCTTGTAGTGGCGCCGGATAATTATGTAGAAAAAACACCACTTGAGTCCAATGTCTGTGGGTTGTCCACAACGTTTTGGCCAGGATTGTAGTTGCCCCATATAATTGCCACAGGTAAGAGTTTAAACCTGCAAAGGTACAGTGTGCCACTAACCATTTAAAGGCAACCGTTTAAACCGACCTAATTCAATGTTGTCTTCCTTTCGCAGGTCCACTTGTTTGTCAACATAGTGATCGTTCATGGTATCTTACTGGTGTGACGAGCTGGGGTCGTGGATGTGCATCTGCCGGATACTATGGAGTTTATGCTTATGTTGCCAAACTTTACCCCTGGGTGAAGCAAGTTACAGGACTTTAATTTTAATATACTACCAGTAGTTTGATAGAAATACTTAATAACCTCTGAAAATGCAAATGCAAAAATGATTCTGAAAATGCAAATGCAATAGTGTAACCTAAACCACATGTTTTGTCAGTATTCGTCATAGTCTATAGTATAGACCATTCCGGTTATTATGTCACGACTAACACTGTTTTCAACTTAGGACCAGGGACGCCGGAACTGGGGGGCAGGAGGGGCAGCCTTCCCCGTTGCCCTTTACCAGGAGGGGCAAGGGGGGCAAAGGTGCCCTTTAAATTTAAAGGATTGCCTTGTCGAAATAGCGAATTGTCAGAAATGTTAGACAGTGCAATTCTTTTAGAAATTTGCTTCAGAAAACGCAAGAAATGCAGCCATCGAGCTTCAAGAATAGCGCAATCGCCTGGCGGATTAGGTTCAACTCTCGATGTTTTGCAAACATCGCTTAGTATATATCAATTCAAAAGTGCCCTTTCACGAACATCTGCCCCCCCTTGCCTTCACATCGTCCGGCGTCCCTGCTTAGGACCACCTTAAATGGAATAGATTTCAAGTTTGCTTCTCACGAGCTATGGTCACAGAAGCAGAACATCCTTCGCCAACACATGCATAAAAATAATTTTGGATTTTGACTATTAAATGTGGAAATAAGCTTAAACACGAAAACGACGCTGAGGGGACACGGCGCTGTTGGCCCTTTTCCACATTTATTGTCCAAAATTTTTTTATGCATGTGTTGAAGCCCTGGAGAAACAGAGCTCGTGAGAAACAAACTTAATTAAAGTCAATTCTATTTAAGGTGATCGATCTTAAGTTGAAAACCGTGTTAGTCACGTGACGTAATTACTGGAAAGGTCTATTGTCTTAAACCATGTATGCTGTTTTATTTACCTGAACTCGCACTGTAACGATGTAAATCCATTGAAGAAATTTAAGTATTTCTAAACCTTTTTTAACTCTAAAAAGTTTTAATAAATTTAGAAAATACTCCAAAGTGTTTGGTATCTGTTTGTTTTAAAATTTGGCGTTATATTTTCCGAAATAATCATCGTAATTTGTAAACATTTTCATTGATATTTTTGAAAATGAATCAAAGTTTTTTCTACAACTATATATATTACTTTTCAATCGGAGACACTCAAATATTTTCAAAATTTGCCCACCGAAATTGTGTGGATATACCCGACGAGATAGAGACTGGGGGGGGGGGGGG